CACCCGGGGTGGCGGCCCGCCCCCGCCCGCGCGGCCGGACTCCCTCTGGAAGGCGACCGCTGCCCTCCGCCCAGCAGTCACGAAGCGCCGCGGAGGAGACCGAGTTCTGTCAAGAAAGGAAGAACTGCGTCTTTTGCGCCACGGTGGTGAGTGACCGGCTTGCACCTATGGATCTCGTAGCACGTTTTGAGATAGGCCACATTCATAAAAATGCGGTGGTTTGAAGTTTGTGTTCAAACTACATTTCAAACGTCAATAACTTTTGTGTTGAAAACATTAACATGTGCTTGTCTGGCAGGGGAATACTCGGGGATGAGAGTAGATGTATAACATTTAATAAGGCCAGCTTGCATTAGTAGGCTGTTTATAACGATAAACCTCTGAAGTGCTGGCGCCGTGCTTTGTTTATGGTAAGTGCTGAACAATTCTTATGCCTGACAGAATATTTACTTATCATCGTCATAGCTGAGCACACAGCATTTTGCTTCAAGTAATTGTATCTTCAGTCATGACCCAATTCAGACACAGATTGGAAGAAAGGGTGAAAACCTGAAATGACTCCAGTCAGTAGAGAGTATGTTGAGAAAGAAGCTTTTAGCACAAGTTGGAAATCAAACCCCAGGAAGTGCTTTTTTCCCCCCTTTTTCCTTTTTTCTTTTCACTGAGGCTGGAGTGCCGTCGCACGGTCATGGCTCACTGCAGCCTTGACCTCGTGGGCTCAGGTGATCTTTTCCACCTCAGCCTCCCAAGTAGCCAGGACTCCAGGTGTGCACCACCACGCCCAGCTAATTTTTAAATCTTTTTTGTAGAGCAGAGATCCCTCGATGTTCCCCAGGCTGGTGCGCTGGTCCTAAACTCCTGGCCTCCAGCAGCCCTCCCCCTGTAGCCTCCCAAAGTGCTGGGATTGCAGGCATGAGCCACCGCAGCTAGCCAGCCTCTGAGGTCGAACTGTCCAAATAAACGGTGGATGTTTATTACTGGCAAGAAATTAATTGGAAATGAACGTTTCCGCGAATTAAGAAGGAAGAAAAATGTAGAATGTGATCATTAGCGTGAGGAGATGGTCGTGTTACCTGACACACATTCCAGTTGTCTGTTGCTGCATGGTTGTTGTTGCTGCCTCTCACACCACCCAAGACTCTGTGTAAAACAGCCATTTTTGTTATGCTCACAAAGTCCCAGGTCAGGAATTTGGAGAAGAGACAGGGGTGCTTTGTCTGGGCCTCAGAATGGAGACTCACAGGACTGGATGTGACTGGATCTGTGGGGAGTTGACACAACTGGGCTTGGAGAGTCCCCTTGTAGAATGGCCTCTTTGCTCACTTGGTTCCTGGACTGGGACAGCTTGAAAGCTGGGCTCAGCTGGCCAGTTGGCCAGGGGACCTGACCTGTTCTCCATGTAGCTCCAGCTTTTCACAGCATGGCGGCATCCGAGGACCGAGTATTCTAGAAGCTGAGAAAGCAGCTGCAAGGCTCCAACTGACCTAGGCTCATAAGTCAGTCACTGTCATTTTTGCTGTGTTCTGTTGGTTGCAGATGAACCATTAAGGCCAACTTGGCTTCAAGAGGAGAATTGGACTCTAGATGAGGGTGTGGTGAGGTCACTTTGCAGAAGAGCATGTGGAATAGCAAATACTGTGCACAGCTTCAGAAAGTACAGTCTGCCACAATGTACACCTTTTGGAAATAGGGAAAAAGTTTAGCCACAAACTTTTTTTAAAGCCAGTCAAATTTAGGAATGGGGGTTGTGTACCAACTTTAGTGACACGCATATTAGTAAGTTCTGATAACCCGCTACCATTGGACCAGCTACCGCTAACTTTTAGGAGAGTAAAAAAATAAAGAGTTAGTAACATAACCAACATAACCAATGTAATAACATGCTCTGTTAAGAAAAACTCTCTTTTGCCATTTTAAACACAGGTATAGATTAGCAGAGACACTTTTCCTTGGTCCCATTCTCCAACTAAACAAAGGAATTCTTAGATACATGCTTCATAAGGAACACTTTTGTTATAAGCATGGCAGAAATTTAGAACTTATGCCACATAATTGTATGTACTTTGGGTGTCCAGACGCTCGCCAGTCTTTTACCTTTTGGGACAGTACAAAGAGGACCCTCATTTCAAGGCTCTTGGAGATGACTTCCAAGGTTCTGGATCTTTAATGTGATGGTAATGGCAGGTATGCACACATTTGCACAGCAGCCTTTACTGGTTTCAAGTTATGCTGCATTGATTTTTTTTTTTTTTTTTTGAGTTGAAGTCTCACCCTGTCACCCAGACTGGAGTGCAGTGGCCGCTCCCGGCCACCACAGCCTCGACCAGCTGGGCTCCGGCGATCCTTCCGCCTCAGCCTTCCAAGTAGCTGGAACTACAGGCGCGCTACCACACCTGGCTAACTTTTGATTTATTGTAGAGATGAGGTCTCGCCAAGTTGCCCAGGCGGGTCTCAAACTCGCGGGCTCAGGCAATCCACTCACCTCAGCCTCCCAAAGCGTGGGATCACAGGCTGAGCCACCGAGCCCGGCGCCACAGTGATTTTTAACATATTGTGGAATGAATTCCTCAGTGTGATTAAGCTCTTCTTTCTATCTTCTTAGTTTCCTTCAGGAAGGGGCAGATGGTGACATAGTCGTGTTTTTTTCAGGAAGGAAGAAGCCCCCGTCTTTAGCATCTTGGTAGGTGCCCATCAGACCAGGCTGATAAGAGATGCAGCCCCCTGGGGAGGGGAGGGAGAGCTAGGGAGGTCAGTGATCTAGCGTTTCTGATACTTGGTGTTCATGATAGTTGAGCTCTTCTCTTTAACCTCTTGACTGCGTCCTTTCAGTCACAGTGTAAATGATGGGTACGTTCTGAGTGCCCAAATCCAAGTCACTTTGGAAATGAAGAACATTCTTAGTAGAGTATATGAGTGACTTTTGGTCTTTGGAGTCATTTGGAGGTTTAGTGACGGAGCTGGTAAACTAGCTGCGTGTTAGAATGATAATTTTATTTTTTTTAGAAAGCGGGATTTATTAAGAGGACAGAAAAGCTCCCACAGTGGGAGGGGACCTGAGGGGGTTGCCCTAGAATGACAATTTAGTAGCCAGTTAGTTTGATGCTTAATGCTGAGTGATGTCATGACCAGAAATATATTCTGGTGAGCATAAAATGTTGCCATGGGGTGGTAGAGCTTTCGGTTTATCTCAGGAAGCTTCCGTCCATTTCACTGTTTAGGACTCTCATCTGCACCTGGATGCCTGCTGTCACCTCAGTGCCACGTGTCCAAAGTCAAATTGATCATCTCCGTCAGACATCCCCCACATACCAAACCACACGGAGACAAACCAAGAAGTCTAGTTTCCTTTCTCAGCTCTAGCATTAGAGCCTATCTTAAGTCCAATCTCTTAGCGTGGAGCTTTGGAATTAATTTTTCCTCTCCTCTCTCTTCTGTCTTTTAAGTATCTTCATTTCTTTCTTTGAAATGTCTTTTAGATTTTCCTTTTCATTTCCACCCCCCCCCCCAGGTAAGAATCAACGCAGGCCTTATTTTTCAGAGTTTCCTGACTTTCGTGCTCTTCTGTTTCAGTTTGTTTTGCGTAGTGACATGGTACTGTCAATAAATGTGTCCTGCACAAGTACTCGCTTTCTGTTTGCTGTTTACCACAGCAAATCTAAGCTCCTCTGCGTGTGTCCGTTATATTCTTGCTCCTACCTGTTGTCAGGGAGGGAACAGAGATATCATGAAGACCAGGCCTCAGAGAAGCAGAGATTGTGGACTTCGGAGGAGGAAGAGCGGAGATGAGGTTTATTAGACAGACGGCGTGCCTTTGGGCAGGTCATCCAGCCAGGAGCTGGAAAGGGTGGAAGAAGCCCGTGATAAACCATGCCCACTGCAGAGTGTTAGCTGGCTGAAAGAGTATGTTGTAATGCCCAAAGAAGTGGAGTCCATGTGATTTATACCAGAGAGAGAGAGAGTATTTGTACCATGCAGATTTTCAAAGAATTAGGTCACCCTCACTAGTCATCGGAGAAATGCAAATAAAAAACCCAACAAGATACCATTTCACACCCACCAGGAAGGCTGTAATAAAAAGTGGACAATAAAGTGTTGGCGAGGATGTGGAGAAATTGGAACCCTTATACATTGTTGGTGGGTTTGTAAAATGGTGCAGCCAGTTTGGAAAACTGTTTGGTAGTCTCAAAAGGTTAAACATAGAGTTACCACACATCCTAGCATACTAGGTATGTACTGTACCCCACCTAGGTATATACCCAGAAGAATTGAAAGCATATGTCCACACAGACACTTATACATAAATAAATGTTCATAGCAGCGTTACATATTTGTGATAAGTAAAACGTAGAAAGAAACCCAAATGTCCATCAACTGATGGATAAATAATAGGTGGTATATCCATATAATTGAATATTATTCTTCTATAAAAATGAATGAAATCCTGACACATGTCACAGCGTGGCTGAACCTTGAAAACATTATGCCAAGTGAAAGCAGCAAGACACAAAACGTCACATACTGTAGGACTTCACTTCTATGAGGTGTCCAGAATAGGCAAGTCCACAGAGACAGTAGATTAACAGTTACAAGGGCTGGGGGGAGGGCAGGTGGGAAGGAATGCTTATGGTTGTTGGGTTTCTTTTTAGGGTGATAGAAATATTCTGGAATTTGTTAGTGGTGATGTTCATAGAACCTTGTGAATTTATGCAGAACCACTGAATTATACACAGAGGTTGAAGTTTATAGGACGTGAATTATATCTTAAAACTGGTTTTTTTTTTTTTTTTTTTGAGTTGAAGGCTCATTCTGTCGCTCAGGCTGGAGCATGGTGGCACGCTCACGGCCACCCCAGCGTTGACCTGTTGGGCTCCGGCGATCCTTCTGCCTCTGCCTTCCTAGTAGCCGGAACTACAGGTGTGCACTTCCATATCCGGTTAATTTTTTATTATTATTGCTTATTGTAGAGATGAAGTCTCACTGAGTTGCCCAGGCTGTTCTCGATCCCATGGGCTCAGGCAGTCCCCTCACCTCGGCCTCCCAAAGTGCTGGACTGACAGGCTTGAGCCACCACCCCGCCCAGCCTATTTTTTAAAGTTGTTACGAGGCTCAGTTATGTAGGACTCAAAGCATGAGTGTGCCTGAGAAG